GGAGGATGGAAGGTGTGAGGGAATAGCGGCAGAGGCGGAAGAACAGAATAATAGCACAATCACAAATTACATTTGTACGGTCCATTGTTTTCCCATTTATTTACCTCCTTTAATCCTCAGAACGACTCTGCTGTGGATATTGTTCACAGATGGAGAAAAACTGTTGCAGAGAGACTGTTCTTGGCTCACAGTACCTAAAATTTAGCCCAGCCCAGCTCTGCTCTCAGCTTTTTGTTTTTCAGAGTTGAAGGGGCAAGATTTGCTCTCAGAGTTGAGCGCATAGGAACACCTGAAACTTCATCAAACAGTAGCCCCACAATATTGACCAGGACTTGTGTTTGGGGGTATCTCCATCCTGATCCTATCTTTGAACTTAGACAAGGGTGTCGTCTGTGCCAGTCACCCCAGATACAAGTGAAGACACTTCAGTTCCAGTTTCCACCCTAGCACCTACCACCTGTGCGACTCCAGCATAGTCATTTAACCTCTCTGGGCCTTGATTTCCTCTTCGTCTTGTACCTGGTAAGTTTAGCATGGAGAGAACGTATCTCGTCTCTGCACACTGGGGGCCCAGACACCCAAAGGCTCTCTCTGGTTAACACTGCCCTCAGCCCTCCCAAACCAGAACGCTTCGAGTCTTCCTTTACCCCTCTCTCACCCTTATCCCACATCCAGCAACCGCCACGCCATTGATTGTGCCTCCTAAATGCTTCCAGAGTCGCTGTACATCTGCCTGATGTTTGGCAGAAGCTGAAGAAGTGTTGGTTCTTTTTCTTATGAGCCCTTCTTCCTGCTTTGAAAAGTATCAAGTGATCTGAAAATGTGAATTGAATACAGTGTGATTTCTGAGCCTCCTTTCTTACTTCTCTATTAATTACAGTATCCCAAATCCTAGCCCAAGGGCTTCCAAACAGCTTCTAACTGTCACCCAGTTCCCACTGCATGGCCTGGGATCAGGCTGTCATGGCCCCCAGGGGTATGTTGCAGTGGTTGGGCATGTGGTCTTTGGACTCCAGTCCCAGTTCTGCCACTAACTAGCTGTGTGACCTCGACAAGTTATTTAACCTCTTGGTGCTGCAGTCTCCTCACCTGTGAAATGGGAATGGTACTAGATATCACACCTTGTTATGTATGAGAATTACATGAATTTGTATACACAAAATGCTTAGCACAGTGCCTGGCAAAAAACAGGCATTTGACAAACATTAACTTTTCTAACTTTTGCCTGGAATATAATAATAACCTCCTAAATGGTCTTTGCTTCCTGTTTTGTCCCCTCCAATACATTCTCCACTCAGTGGCCAAAGGGCTTTCTCTATCCCTTCCATATAGGGTTGCCAGATAAAATACAGTATGCCCAGTTCCAATTTAGCTACATGTCTGGTATTTTTTATTTGCTAAATCTGGCAGCTCCACTCCCATGCTTAAAAATTTCCCCTGGTTCTCCATTAGCTTTAAAACATATAAAACCTAAGCTCTTAAACATGACATTCAAGTTCTGTGACTCCCACTCCTGACCTCTCTGTTTAATCTCTCCCCTCCCTATTTCTTATCACCGCCAGTCCCTCATCTTATGCTCCAGCCATCTCCAACTGCCTTCTTGGAAACCCAGAGGATGAATCTTTGCATTTTGGAGCTAAGAAGAATCATTGGCCACATATTTACATGAGGAAATTGAGGCCCAGGGAGGTTAAAGACCTGCCCAAAGCCACACAGCAGTAAATGAAGCCCATATCTCCCAGGTCAGCATTCTGGCTAGGACCTTAAACCTTGGTTCTGAAACACTGACTGCCACACTCAGGCCAGAAGATGCTCTTGGAGCAACAAACGTTTTAGGTTTAAAATCCCTGACCTCGAAGGACCAGCGTGGGCTTCACTTAGGGTTTGGGGGATGCGGGAAGGCAGGATCTGCTAGCGCAGAACAGTTCTTGGGGGCCAGCCTCTGCAAGCTGTGATGGCTGAGAGGCTTTGAGGGGCCGAGAGATGACCTGGAAGTATTCAGGGCTCACGTAAGGAGCTCCTCAAGGTAAAAGGAAAGTGCTTCTGAGACTCAGGGCTGGGGAAGCAAGGCCCTGTTTCCAGCTCTGTTCTTGGGGTTTGGCCTGGAATGGAAATTCATTTCCCCCAGTCCAGCAGCTAAGAGTGAGGGCACGTTAGGCTGGGGATTCTCAAATATGCAGAATAACCTGGCTGGCCCACAGCTTGTGATGACCTCAAGGACAAACACAGAGTGGAGGCCATCATGATGGCAGTGGGGGACACCTTCCCTGCAGGGCTCCTGGGCAGGTCTCACCACTCTGCAGTCACCCCCACATCAAACTTGAAGTGGACCCAGCTCCCAGTTGGATCCTCAGGAGGCTTTGGCTCCGTTACAACCACTCGATGAAAATATCTCTGTTTAGTGCTGGAAACTTGGTCCCAGTAATTGACTTGTATCCTGTCCAAAGACTCTGTGCACATAACCAGAGCCCAGAGTGATGCATCATCTTTAGCAAAAAGATTTATCATGGAATCTGCAGCACCTTCCCATTTGTCTGAAGCAGAAACAGGAACAACTCTCTTTGCCAGGAGTCAGTCATCCTTTGTCTTTAAAGCAAACTCCTCCACGGTTGGAGGCTTTCTGGGCCCAGGCTGAGGCTGGTGGCCAGCTTCCTGGCCATGGTCCCAGACTCCCGCTGTCTCCCTCTCAACAGTCTCATCCACAGGCTGCAGGGAGTGAGGGGGAAAGTGGAGCACTGGGTGTTGCAGCCCTGAGTTCTAGAACCGACTGCTGCCAGCTGGTTTGTGACCTTGGGCAAGTCACTTCATACCTTCAGGCTTTTGCAGAATTCTCCATCTGTAAAATGGAACTTGTGATTCCTGCTTGAATGATCTTATAGCAGACGTGGAAGAGGCATCGTTCATCACCTACCTTGTAGAGAGGACCCTTGGAATCATGGTTGGTTGAATGGATCTGGGTCAACTCCCAACTCTGCCGCTTGGTTATGTCACACCGGGCAAGTTCCTTAACCTCTATAAGCTTTAGTTTTGGACAATGAGGATACTAAGAGTGTCTCCTTCGTAGTGTTGTTGTCGGGAAGACAATGAAAAGATCCACAGGAGCCCTTAGAATGGGGCTGGTACAGGTCTGTGCTCAGTTCTAGCAAACACTTTCATTATAAGCCCGTCTCCTGGTGGAGACAGGATGTCTGAGTGGTAACGTTGGTTGTTGTAAGATCAGCCCAGCCTCGCACTGAACTGCTCGCAGCTGTAGGTGAGGAAACAGAGGGTAAGGACTTACACAAAGTTACACAACTCATCAGTGGCAAAGGTGAGCTTTAAACCCATTTCTAGCTGACTCAAGGATCTGTGGCTTTTTTGCCACACCACACTGGCTTGTAATATTTTTGGAGAGAGCGAACGTGGTCAAGTAAGAGTATAATTAACATTGAGGATGCAGAAGCCTTGGAACCAGGTGAACTTGTGTTTATCCCACCAATGCCACCTTTTAGCTGTGTGACCACAGACAAGTCACTCACCTTCTCTGTCTCATGTATGTTAGGTTCTTAGTGCAGTAAATGGTGTTTCACAATGATCGTTCTTGTTGTCATTACTATTAACAGCAGGGTGTGCTGTGTGAAGGACAGCACTGTGGCCAACAGTAAGTCCTGGAAGATTCACCCCAGGACATCCTGTGGGCTGGAGGTGGTCAGGCAAGATGGCAGGAGGGAGTGGCATTGAACTGGGGCTTTGGGCTGGCCGAGTGGCGCGATGGTTAAGAACTGGCTTGGGACGCCAGAGGGCTCCGGTTCGGATCCCACATATGAGGGCCAGTGACACTGCCCTCCACAAATAAGATGCTGAACTACAGCTCAACCTGGAGCTGGGCTGCTGTGAGTTGCCGGCGACAGCGTAGGCTGCAGCCCCTGTGGCAGTGGGTTGCCATGGGCTACCGTGTGTAGCCAGCAGCCAGCGTGAGCGGCCAGCAGCTGCAGTGAGCGGCTGTCCAGAAGCCGGCGACTGATCTGCCTCGCCCAGGAAGAGCGCAATGATGGTGCTAACTTGGGCCAGTGAAGTGACGTCCTCCACAACTAGACTGAAGAACAAAACGACAGCAACTTGTCTGTTCCCTTTCCCCCAATTCCCCAGCACTGTTCCCATCCCCCCAATTCCCCAATAAAAAAAAAGGGGGCTTTGAAGGACAGGTGAGTGGAGCCAAGTGGGAGAAGCTTCTAGGCAGTCAGGATGGTGCACAGGAAGGTCCCATGTGGGACGATTCAGGGAATTCTGGAGCGAGTGACATGGAGGCTGGGAACCCACGAGGAAATGTACTTATTCATCTACCCACGGGGCCACTGCCTTTTAACATCACTTTCTGTGTGCCAGACACTTTGATATCATTGTCTCTAATTTTCACAACTGTAGGTAACATTATCCTCATTTACAGATCAGCAACTGAGGTCGAGAGAATCTCAATCAGCTCCCCAAGGTCACGCGAGTGAGGGATAGAATTGGGTCTGTCTCCAAAGCGGTGCTCTGTCTGCACCACCGAGCTAACACCAACTAGGGATGAGTGATTTTGTGCTTCCATGTAACGCCCTGGTTTATAGAAACAGATTGGGCACTGTCTCTGGACTCTAATAGCTGGCGGTCTTGGTAAACACACAGCCTGGGTGCTCAGCAGGTTGTAAAGCACAGAGGAAGTGTGACCTGCTCACGGGCCTGCACAGGCCGCCCTCATCAGACTAACTGTTCTCACCTTTGAGGTTGGGGATGGCTGTTAGGGCCAGTCCACAGTTGGTGGGGGAGGGGCAGCTGAGGCACTGTGTCCACAGCTCCACGGAGACTGCATAGGTGACAGATAAGGGAGACAGAGCACTGAGCCACTCCAGCTGCTACCAGCCTCCCGTATGGTGGGTTTTAAGCTCTGTGGATCCTGCAGGACACCTGTCCCAAGGCTAGGTGGTGACAGAGCCCACTGCTGATGTCTCTGTTTGTTCTGTCTCTTTTAGGAATATTTCAAGGCAGGAGTTTCTTTGTCTTCTCTGAATCTGTCTCCTCCGGGACTCTCCACTGCTGGCTGCTTGAGCCCATGTGATTGAACCATGTGAATCAGCTCTGTGGTAGGCTGCATCCTAGCCTAAGACTTGGCCAGCATTTCCCCCTCAGCCCACCTCAGTCAGAGCACTGTTCTCCTGCCCACACACCCAGGTCCTGGGCCACCACTCAATACCCCCGAGAATGCTCCTTCCCATCCATGTGTCAGGTTGGGCCCTCCTCTTCACCTCCTCCTGGAAGCCTGCCCTGACTTCTGTAGCCCACTTTATTTCTAGACTGAAACATTTCTGGAGCAGGATGTTAACTAGATTCACTTCTATTTGCTTATCCATGTGTACCGAAGCCCGGCAGCTCTGTGAGGGCAAGATGGGTCTTTTCCTACCTTTTCATCTCATCCCGCAATGCCAAGCAAGAAAGGGTGAAGGACTGGGTGATATTTGAAGGATTCAGCTGAAGGGGGGCAGATCTGGGGTGTTCTAATAAAAAAAGATTCCCATAGATTACCAAGATTTCTATAGATTACATCTGTCTTTGCTCGACAGCCCCTCTCTCCTCATTTATCGGCCAGAGGTGGGGGCCAAGGCCAGTCCTGGCACAGACTCACATGAGCTGTTTTCACCTGTCTCGGAGGCCCTATAACTCCAACCAAGTGGGATAAACTGGGAGCAAAGGTCCCCCAAGTCCCCCTCACCAGAGTCACACATCTCTGTGGCCCTTGCAGCCCACAGCCCAGAGCTGAGGCCAAATTAGGTGAAGAGGAGTCAGCTAATGTCACATACCATCATTCTTTCCCTAGTTTTGCAAATGACTTGCCATGTGACCTTGGACAAGTCACTCCACCTTTCTGCACCTCATTTTCTTCATCTGACAAGGGTAGTGGCTTAGAGGACTGTTAAGGTGCCTTCCAGCTCTGAACCTTTGCTTCTTTGACTTAAAGACAGGAATGTCCACAGCTTCTCAAATAAAAACGTCCCCCTCCTTACAGACAGCTTGGGGAATCAATTCTGCCAGAGCATCCTTGCAGGGAAGCTAGGGTTCTGCAGTCTCCTCCCAAGACGGGGCAATTTATCTTTATTCATTGTTCATCCCCATTCTCCCTCTCCTCCGCCCTCCCTCCAGCCCCCATCATCACCCCACCCCCAGTCCAGGATGCAGCAACTTGCGTTGAATGAGGAGCGGCTGGTCATGTGGTCTGGTAACCATGGCGACGGATCCCCGCAGACAAGGAGGTAGGCATCAAAGTCACATGAGAACCCCGGAAAACTGGCTGAGGTATTTATAGAAGCAGGTTGGTGCTTTTATGGAAATGGGTCTATATTTGACTCTGGTATGGAAAGCTCCATGCTGGCCCTGGGGCGAGGCAGGCTTTGCGTCTGAGTCTCCCTCCCGAATCCTGAGTCGGAGCACACAGCCCCCTCCCTCCCTCGTAGGCCCTGGCACGTACCCTTCCCCACCCCACTCCCAGCTGCTATTGCTCCTACAAGAGCTGATCCCCACCCCCTTCTGTTTACATTGAACAGGCTTCCTTCACTCTGGGAATTTGGGGCCCCAGGATGGGCAATTGGGGACACCCTCCTTCACCACTCCCCTAAGTACCAACAAGAGGAATGTTCTTGCTGCTCTCAGTAAATAGTAGAAGATACCGTGATGACGCAAAGCCTTTGGCGCTTCTTTCTTCCTTTGAAGTTTGGAAGTAGCTGCTAAAGGAAGGAAGTAATACATTCCAGCGCAAGACCTGGAAGGGTTCAGCCACCCAGCCCTTCATGTTCTGGAAAAGCAAGCTAATGCTAACGGTAGCTGTTATTTATTGAGCACTCACTGGATATATGTTATCTCGTTGAACCCTCACCACACCCGATAATATAGACACTGCAGTTATCCCCATTTTACAAATGAGGACAGGAGCTGGGAGTCAGAATAAGAACCTGTCTGTCTGATTCCACAGTCCTTGCAGAGTGTGTCTGCATGGAGGGATGGGAGGGGAGGTGGGGACCCAGGAGACAGAGGTGGAAAGGGGCAGTCCAGAGGAGCAAGGAGAAATGCATTTTGCTTTTTTAATGAATGGGTAAGAATTGCACATCGTCAAAGTAATGAAAAATTAAAACTAAAGTAAGTCCAATACCAAGTTTCCCTTCCCAGGGTCCTGCAGCCCCAGTCCCCTCTGCAGAGGAAGTGACTGTGGCGAGTTTCGGCTGTTACCTTTCTAGAGATCTCATATGCATATAGAAGCAGATATAGATATATTGAATCTACATGGTATAGGTATAAAACTCAAAAGGTATATGATGAGGGCCGGCCAAGTGGCGCGTTGGTTAAGAGTTGGCTTGGGACGCCAGCTCTAAGCAGCAAGGCCCCAGTTTGGATCCCACATGAGGGCCAGTGACGCTGCTCCCTCTACAGCTAAAATGGGAACAACAGCTCAACCTGGAGCTGGGCTGCCAGGGGTTGCCGGCAACGGTGTAGGCTGCAGCTGGTGAGAGTTGCCGTGAGCTGCTGCTGTCCAGTGGCCGGCAAGCGACTGCCTCTCCTGGGAAGAGCTCAATGATAGTACCAACATGGGCCAGTGAAGCGATGTCCTCCATAACTAGACTGAAGAACAAAAGGACAGCAACTTGTCTGTTCCCCTTCCCCGATTCCCCAACGCTGTTCCCCTCCCTCAACTCCCCAATAAAATCTTAAAAAAAAAGTATATGATAAAAAGTAAATCGTTTTTCCATACCTGCCCCCAGCCCCATAGTTCCTTGCCCTAGAGGCGAGCACTATTATCAGTTTCTTATGTATCATTCCAGAAATACTTTATGCCTCTACAAGTGCACAAATGGTCACACCCTCTCCACACCATTCTGCATCTTTTTTTCATTTAACAGTACATTTTGGAGATGTTTCCAAACCAGGAAAAAGAGAGCATACTTGTTCGTTTTAATGGCTGCAAAGAATTTCAGTGCATGGAGTACCATAAATTATTTAAACAATTTCTTGTTGATAGACATGTAAATTGTTTCCATTTTTAAAAATTACAAACACTGCTATAAGGAATATCTTTGAAGAATGTCTTTAAACAAACACATGTGCAAAATGAGTCTGTGCCTTTGATAAATATGGTTAATGGGCCATGGGTATGTGCTTTGTAATTTTGATAAATATGGTTTAATTATCTTCCACCAAGATAGTACAATTTAACTCCTATCCCATTAGCATCATGTGTTATTGATCTTTTTTTATCTATTTGCCAACCTAATAGGTAAAAAATTGTATCTCATTTTTCAATTTGCTTTTCTCCATTATGAATGAAATTGAGTATCTTTTTATATGTGTAAGAACTGCTTATATTTTATTTTCTATGAACTTTCTATTCATATCCTTCTCTCTTTTTCTTAGTGATTTTTAGAAGCTCTTTGTATATTAAAGAAATACCTCCCCCACTTTTTAAGCAGTCACTGAACAGATATCTTTAAACACCTATCATATGGCAGGACTGTTCTAGGTGTTGAGCATATAGCGCTAGACTAGTTGGGGAGCAGACAACAAGCAGATAAGCAGGAAAGTGAATTGAGTGCCAGATGGTGAGAAGTGATTTCGAGAACAAAAAAGCAGAAGGTCAAAGGGAGTGCCTATGATTATATCATGCTTAGGTCTTCTCCACCCAACATTATAATGATATTCCTCATGTTTTTAAAGTACTTTTATGGTTTCATTTAAAAAAATTAGACTTATCAAAGGACAAACTTCTGACTTTGGTGATCTTCACTATTGTATGTTTTCTTTCCTATTTCATTAGTTTCTACATTGTCTTTATCATATCCTTCCTTCTGTTTACTCTGGGTCTATTTTCCTAAGTTCTTGAGGTGATTGCTTGGTTCATTGATTTTCAATCTTTCTTCTTTTCTAATACATCTACTTAAGGCTATAAATATCCCTCTAAATACTGCTTTTGATGCATTCCTATGGCTTATTTTTGTACATTTATTACTCTTGATATATATATAATATTGATATATATATATACAATATTGGCATAAGGAAAGTATTAAAAATTACTTCTTTTCGAATGGGCAAACAAATACCATTTGTTTAAAAATTCTCTCCCCCTCCATTCACTTGAAATTCTCTCCCCCTCCATTCATTTTCTGAATGACTGGATCTGGGTTTTGTGTACTGCCTCACGCATTTCTCATGACTAGGCCCATACTGATTTAAGCTTGTAACTTTATAATATGCTTTACTGCCTGGTGGGCTAATTCACCACACCACGCCCATTACTCCCCCTCCTAATTTCCCTGACTATTCTTGTTTCTTTTTCCATATAAACCTTAGAATCAGCTTGTCTGATTAAAAACAACAACAAAAACCCCCACCAAACTAACACTTTTTCGCTATTTTCATTGAGTCATTTTCAAACTATGCATTAATTTAGAGAGATTTAACATGTTTATTATGTTTTCTCTTCCAATCTAAGAACTTGTCTTTTCTTATGTTCAGACCTCTTTTGGGATCTCTCAGTGGCATTCAGATGCTTTCTTTATGTAGATTTCCTACACATCTTTTAACATTTATTCCTAAGTACTTTCTTTTTTTGTTTGTGTTATTGTAACTGAAGCATTTCTTAGATTTTTGCACAGGTTATTGTATATCTGAAGGTTATGATATTTTGTATGTTAATTTTGCATCCAATCATGTTACTGAATTATATTATCTTTTAAGTCTTTTTAGTTGTGAATTATTTTTCAAATGAAATGTTCAGCCTTTAAGGGGAGAATGCACATTACATTGAGAAAAACCCCAGGGTAGGTGGCTATTTCATAATTCAATAAGTTAATAAGTGTGAGATGCTTAGAGTAAAACTCAGCACATTTTATGAGCTACTGGTCATAGCAACAATGATAATACAGCTTTGAGTTAACACAGGATCTTATCTTATTTAATCCTGACCCCATGAGGTTAGAGAACAGATTAAGCTTTCCATTTCCCAAATAAAGCTCTGAAGGTCAGAGGTATTAAGTGATTGTGGAAGGTCACCTGGCAAGGTAGTGCTGGATCAGAACCTGAGTTTATCTGACTGTACATCGCACTGTCTCAGTAAAAAAGAACGAGGTTAGTCCTTTTGTGAAGTGAAAGGTCCTTCGAAATCACTCATTTTGATTTGTATTCTGGGTGTCTGTGCAGAGGTGTGTTTAATGGGGCACCCTACCCTGCTCAATAAGGACTCTATAGAGTCAACTTCTCTGGGGCCCCTCCCT